AAAGTATGCAGTATGTCCCATTCATGCCCATGCTTCTTGTAAGTAAGAGATGGCGAAAAGAAAGGTATTCTCTTTCAAAAGATATATTTGTCTCATTTCAGCCATGTGTTAAAGAAATGTGCCGTATAGTATTAGCTTCTAGAGCGTACGCAGTAAAACCATGAAATAAAAACAAAGTTGATACTGACAAATATCGCTATTTAGTGACTAATAGTTGCTATTACTCAACCACAACATTTATTAAACAAAAGACACAAATGGTCTCTTGGGGATTTTGTCTTTGTATGATGAATGTTCTGGTTGAGTGATAGCAACTATTAGTTACTAAATAGCTACTACTTGTCAGTAGCAATTGGTTTTACTGCGTGCGCTCTATTATCATTCGATTCCATGCTTTTTCTATACAAATCATTACAAATCTGAAATAACAGTTGATGAAATGCATGCTAGCATGCAGACATTCAAATCCATGCACTTAATGGGCTTTGTTTCACTTACCGGACGGTAGATCTCCGTTGGTTGACCATTACGATATGGCGGCATTTCATCTTGAGTTGTCTTGTAAGCATTAGTTGCTGCTGCATTATGGTCATTCACGTTAAAAGTTTGCCTATCAATTTCAACAAAATGCTAACAGGTCAGATATTATCTATTCGCACTCGCCCTTCTCTTCCCATATGTAACATTTTTCATAAAAAAGGCCTTTAAGGAAGAATAGTAAATGTAAAGAAAAGTCCCAATTTGCAGTTATTAATACATATTGGGTCAGGTACATGTTAAGTTATAGCCGCCACGTTAGTTGACGATAATAAATTATTCCATATTAGCTTCTCTAGTTACACCATCCAACATGGCGGTTGTTTCATTCATATTTATATTTCAAGGAATTTTGTGTAAAGATAGTAATTATGATAATCGTGCCACGTGACAGTTCCCAACTTAACACTGATAAACTTGTGGCCCTCTATGCTTAACGTCTCTAAGTTAGATGAGACCCGCGCCATTTTACTTAGCGTTATCCAAGCCACGGTGAAGGTCTATAACCGTTTGCAGATACTTTTAGAGCAAAGATAGCACCTTCCACCCAGATATTTGATGATCTTGAGTAATGGTTAGGCCAAGCTAGGCTTGAAAAAGCTAGACTTGAAACCACGACCTCGCGCACAGCAAACCGGCGCCCAACCAACTGAGCCAAGCAGTAGTTGTGCTTGCACCCCAAGAATAACTGACTCGAAAGGCATATACGTTTCTACTTACATCGAAGTTCCGTTCTCTGCCGCACCTGCGTTAAAAAAGAGAAAAAGATATATGAAAATCAGTAATTCTGCATAATTAAGAGTGTGAGACAGCTAACAGAGTTGTTAATTGTTTGCAAAAGAACATTTAAAAAAAAAAAAAAGTTGATGTAAAATGCTTTACCACTTGGGTAGGTTTCACTCTTTTTCCTCTTGCAGTACAGGACACATAATATGATCATAATGATGATAATCAGTATGCAGGCAAGGATGATGATGATGCCGGGAATMAAACCAATACCTATAAATAGAAAGCAGCAATTGATGATATCAATAGTAAGAGCAATATATGATTGAAGTTAAATATATGTTTATAGAAAATATAGCTCCTTTTGATGAAATGTCAAGCAGCTCAGATTAGAAGACAAAACAGAAGCATTTCAATCTTAAAAGAATTGAAAGCCTTTCGTTATGTCCTCCAAATCACAGCATGAAATTTCATCTTTACTAATATTTATTTCATACTTAAATATTCGTAAAGATCGTTCAAATATCTCCGCATTATTTACGAAATGCGTAAAGAATGCGTTATGCGCAAAGAATACGTAATTTGCAGCAAAGATGCGTAAATATTGGCAATTGTTATGCATTTTTACGCTACCGAAAAAATCAGCGTAAAGGTACCCGTAAAGGTTACTAAAGACCCGTAAATACTGTCTATACGCACCCAAAAAAGTCCGCGTAAACGTTCCTGTAAATACTGCGAAAAGATTCGTGAAGATCCATATAGACTGGATTTTTACTGAATTATTTTTGTAATGCTATATAACCCTTGGCAAATTGTTGATATAATTAATTTAGCTACATTACGACGTGCTGCGAGGGGTCAATTCCAGAAGCACGGGTGATGTGCGCAAACTCTCCTAATGCGGCACAGGATCCATTCCTGGGCTTGGTTACATTTAAATAGAGTTGCTTGTTTGTTCTCTCCTAGCAATGTACTTTTAGGGTGTTTTTATCTCCGGGTTCTTCGCTTTTTATAGCCTCAAATTTTTTTTTCTAAATTCGATCTATTGGCTGCCTTATCGAGTAGGTTGTAAAAATTGTTAGGCTTTCCTCTGTCCACCCTGAAGCGGAGGTAATCCCATTATATTAGTAAAAATATGATTCAAATTAAGGAATTTTTTGCTTGTTTTCTAAAGTAAGGATTTGGTGCAATATAAGCTTACCCTTCTCGCAATGCGTCCCGTATCTGAAAGCATCGCAAAAACATCTGTAGCCATTATCACCTTGCACCTCACATTTGCTGTTGAATTTGCAAGGTTCTGAGCTGCATGGATCAGCTAAGAAAAAATATGTTGTTAAAATGGAAGTTTCATCTTATCACAACTAATAGTAAAGTTATATCTATCACATAGCCACAAGAAATGGATCTTGCGTTCAGTGTACACTCATTCATCCTACTAGCTATAGAGGTTTTGCACCATCAGGTGACAGCCACCAAGAGCAAACGGATTTTATTTTCCTGCCATTTAACACTGCATGGTTGGCGCCTGCACGTGATGGTACAAAACATCTATTGCAAACTATTAAAACACAAGATATATGTCCTGAATTTGCACTTTACGAAATTCTAAAGACTGAGGGAAGTAGTGAGTCCTTTGTTTAAATATTGAATTTACAAATAGGAAGCTTTAGAAATAATGGAATAATAGAAATAAAAAAGGAAAGTATGCAGTCTCTTAGAATTTCAGACTCTGAAAGTAGTAAAAACATGGAATTACCTATTTTGTGAAATGTTTCTTTGATGGGATGGCCAAAAAGCTTGCTAACAGCCAAGCAACAAAGCATTAACAGTGATTTTGGTTATAGTTTTTTTTATAATCTACGTTGCCAATTAATACTTTAGTTATACCTGACTAGGATTTAACCAAACAATGAGGAATAAGTTAACCATCAAGCTTTACTCTATATGTTATGAAAAGAAAAGTAGAAGAAAAGACAAAGAAAAAAACTTGAAATTTTGGAGGAAAGAGAAGGAGTCGTTCTTGTGAAATGGGAAGGATACGGGGACGACCCTTGGCCTGACTGCTAAACTCTTCCTTAGTCCTTTTTTCTAAAAGAGCGACACAGTGAAAAACGACACTCAATGTTTGATATAGAAAATTAAATTTCATTCATGAAAAAGAAAACGTATACTTACATTTTGGAGATACTTGCAATCCTGATGCTTTCAATGTTAAGTTGCCGAAAATTGTTTTGTTGACTATTTCATTCTTTATGGCATTCACGACCTCGCTTCTTAGGGCAGTGTCATTGAAAGTAAGAATTGTGTTGGCGTATATACTTCCTTTACTAGAAATATAAAGTTTAAAGTAGAAGGTTAGTGTATATGATGTTCAAGAGTTCTTTTCGTATTGAAAAGTCCCTCTTGTAGAAAAAATGAGTGTTGTTGCAATAGCTTTTTAATAAGGGTTTACTAAATTGATGAATTTTAATAAGGATGATTGAAATATATAAATATTTGGAACAATACAAACAAAGTATCACAAAGAAGTGTGAAAGGTGGTAGTCAAGAGGACAACAGAAAAAACGTTCGCGCATGCGTGCATTTCTGTTTCAGCACATTTTTCAATAGTTTAGAAGATTTTAAGTGAGAAAATAAATACTCTCTGAGAATACAAAAAGTTTCGCGACTATACTTTTGTGAGAATAAGGTACTTTATTAACAAAGACTATGTTAAAGAATTAGCCTTAAGTTTCAAACATGGGCACTAAGTTTTGGCATTTTGTAAAGTCCATTTGTCAAGCATGTTTGAAAGTCAAAATTACATATCTTTACAATAGCACGAGGACGTCTTGACTAATTTGCATACGGATTTAGATCATGCKCAGACGTTTTTCATTCTTGTCGGCCAAGAGAGTATAATGAATGGATGTCAGTGTCTTGTTGAAATTTTCAATGTGATGGTAAAGCACTGATTGCATGCTACATAAGATGTTGGCTTAAAGATTGTACCGAGAGTGTTTACCGACAGCAAAGCGGGCTTTCCACTAAGCTAAAGTCTACCGACAATGTCGTTACCTGGCTTTTACAAGGATACAAGTCACAAGTTTTTTCCCTGGTATTCGTTGTTGTCCTTCATTGAATATCTTGAACATCTGTGTCGAAAAGATGTTGGCAAGTTTTAAATTTAAGAATTGAAACAAAACTTCACGGGATAAAA